TAGAGGCAAGGAGCAAATACAAATCCTTAATTACACTGGAAAGCCCATTCTGGATATTTTATTTCCTTTGCAAGCCCTTGCTACCACAAGTGCATTAATGAGCACGTGGCTCTGCCCAGAGGAGCAGGGAGATGTTTTTGGGGATGGCYGGGGCGTGGGGAGGAGGGAAGGGGTGACTGCACCACACGGGAGCTTTTCTGCTCCCATCAGGATGTTTYCTGACAAGCAGCAAAGGAAACAAATAAACTAAAGCCTAATTCGGGATCTCAATTACCATCTGTTGGATTTACTGACTGCAGCGCCGTCTCTGCATTTTCCAAGTTTAGCACAGAAACCCGAGCAGGAGAAGCAAAGCCACTGCTGGCTCGTGGCAGAGAGGATGAACTCGCCTCGAACTCCCTCACGCTGATATTTATGAAATGCTAAATCTTCATTTCAAAATGTTCCCTTAAGCTGGGTGACATGGCAATGAGTACGACCCATCACTAGCTCAGAGTCTGTTGCATAATAAGATTTAAGGTTTATGACCTACAAACAATCGCTTGGTGGCTCAGGACAGGCTGCGGGGAGCCGCCTCACACACACGGAATTATTTGGATTCCCGAATGGAGTGATTTGCGTGTGGCACATCTGGTCTACGACCGCCAACGAATGAGTCTATGGGCTAATATGGACGAGTAACAGGCTGATGGAGAAACCATGATTGTAAAATGATTTGAAAAATACCTTTAAGTTCTTTTGGATACAAAATAAAAAGAAGAGATTACAGTTAAGAGTCRGTGTTTCAATTCCAAGGGGGGTTAATTTGAATAAAAAAAAATAACRTCGGCTTTACTATCAGCGTAACAGCATGTGCGGGTTCTCGTACGGAGGGTGTAGGTTGCCTACAGCCGGCTTCAATTTAAACTTCCAGATAATGGGATTTAACAAATAGGGCTCTATGGATCCAAGCCGTCAGCAGCTCTCTGCTGTGATATCCCTACGCTTTCAATCAGACCAGGGCTCTGCTTTTATCTGCCACGCGTTGATGGTGCCTGTAATATCAACTCGACAATGCATGTTCTACAACTACATCTACTGCTACCAGTACGACTACTACAGTGCATGCATTTAGTTCAGTCCCACAGATACATACACTCTAAGAACAGGCAAGGGGAGATGTGAAATGTTTTACGGGACGACAGGTGTTTTGTTTTTTAAGTAAGGGAAATTAATAAAAAACATCAAAAGAAAGAAAGTGTACAAAAAAATAGAGACATTTCTCAAGAGTTGATATGAGTCGTTTCTTGAACCGTTTCGTCCGAACAAGCAAAAAACATGCAACCAGCTGCTACTAACAAGAAGCTGGACACTGAGAGAGGATTAATAGGTGTGGACAAACCTTCCCGCTGAGAGCGCTCAGAAGAGTGTTTGAGAGGAGGTGTGCACGTCCGAGTGTAAGAGAGGCCGGAAAGTTTGCCTCAGAGACACCCTCTCTCACAGCAGCCCCAACCAAGCAAGAGAGAAAACAACAAAACATAACTGCTCACACTCACCATCAAGGTCAGTAGCTCACGTTAYGAGATTTGTTATAGCTGGCAAGTATAAAGTCCAGTAAGGGGTTGTTGGGGCGCAGGGCTCAAAGGCAGCACTGGCAAGCCGGGAGCGGGACCCAAAAATCCAGATGTGCCAGGGGTTGGGGTGGGGGAGCAGCCCCAGGCGCCGTGGCACCGCGCTGTCCCCGCTGTGCTGAGTGCCACCRTCCAGGCCAGGTGGGCACAGCCTGCCCGAGGGAGCTGGGACAGGGCTGGGAAAAATCAGGGAACTGGAAAAAAATCTCAGGCTTGAACCAAAGAGGAAGGAACAAAAATCCTCTCCTGCCAAATTTTCCTCGTCTCGCTCTCCTGCCAGATGAACCCCTCCCATGTCAAATGCAAGAGAAAAATGTGYCCCCCTCCCCCCCATGACTGTATTTTAAAAAAAGCATTTACACGACAAAAATGTTTTACACGTAAAATATGTCAGGTGGATTCAAAAGAAACGTGACACTGATAGTGAAGTTGTCTAGGAGGAGTTTGCAGCATTCAGACTTTTTAACTTTGCTCGTTTTCCGTGGCTCAGGTCCCAATTCATTAAAAAAAATACAAGAATGGGTGAGGTTGTCAAAACCAGTGGAGGGATTTCGGCAGCACAGTCCTACCCGGAGCAAATGGATGTGGCCAGACCTCAGCGTGCTGGAAGGACCTCAGCTATCACCTCATCACTGGGATGTCGTGGGGATGTGATTTATGGCCAGCTCACCCTGCCGGCGCGCGAGCGGCCACGCGGGACGGGAATTTATGGTGGCACTGAGCACCAGGACAGGGGCATGTCCCTTTCTGCTGGCTGTAGGACAGGCCTGCTGTGACACAGAAGAACCTGTTTACCCAGCAAGGTCAGCTGGTGACAGGCTGCTATAGAAAAGGAAGGGCTGAGGGCAGGGAGGAGGTCCCAAGCAGCCACCTGTCCCCCTTCTGCTGACTCAGCAAACATGCAGGTGTGTCCCAAAAGCAGGAATGTCACCCCAGGGACAAACCAAGGGCTTGGAGTGAGTGAGAGGGCTGCAGCTTCCTGGGGAGACCAAGACATGCAGCTGAAGGTGGATGCTCTCTGTGGGTGCTCTGTCTCTGGGAGGCACTGATGGCAGGAAGGTGGGGAAGAGCCGGAGGGATGGGCTGGAGAATAAAGGTCAATTTTGGGTGAGCTGTGGGGGCTGGAATGCTGAAGAGGCAGCAGTCACGGGGACACTGATGACATGGATTGTCACCAATGCTTCCCAGGAACCTGCTGGGCTGTTTGCTCCGTGCTGGAGCCGCTCCAGCTCTCCCCAGTGAGCCGGGGGTGGTGGGATGCGCCCGCCCGGGGCTTTTCCAGCTCTTTCCCATTTCCTGGCACAAAGGGGGCCAGTTAGGGCCAGCAGTGCTGTGCTCTGTGCTGTGGACCAGGCACTGTGAAGGAGTGCTGTGCCAATTTGTGAAGGGAAAACAAAAAAACCCAAGTGAAAGGCGAGAAGGGAAGAACCCCAGCCATTTTTCTTGTAATGAATCGGGGCCCGTACACTGCAGCGCAAGATCGATCGGACTCCACTGCTCCTGGATACAATTCACTACCATTGCTGATGGAGTGGCAAACCCAGGATGTGCCTTCCAAAACCGGCTGGGGATGGAGATGACCCTACAGAATCCCCCCGTTCCCAGACCACGGGGACAAACCCATTTTCCTCCTTGAGATCTCGGGGCGCGGGRCGGGACGGGGGCTCTTTGGATTCAGTTTTGGGTGTTTGCCAGTTTTGTGCACGCAATTTTGAGGCTTGAAAAGGCATTTCCAAACACCATACTGCTCTTTAAACTTGCCAGAAAGGGTGTTGTTAATTTAGGGTTAGATTTTAGTTTCGTATTGCAAGTTCAAATCAAAAATTAAAAAAAAAAAAAAAACAAAAACAAACCAAAAAAACAAATCAGAAAACCCAACAAAGGAGAAACCAAAAAACACTCAAATTAAAGACAAATGATTTTCAGGCACAGAATTGATCAATGCTCAGTTCAGTTGTAATGGGCACCAAAAGCACTCCGATTAAAAAAAAATCATAATAATAATCAGGGAAGCAACGTTAATCCAGCCAAACCCTCTGTGCCTTGCTAAGGGGCAACTCACCAGGTCTGTTTGCACGTAAAACAAAACCTGAAGGGCAAAACATGAGGAAGAGGCAGAAACAATGAGGTCTGTTTTTTTTTCCTGGAAGCATATGCAAAAGTAATCTCGTTTTTCGTTTGGCTTTGGTTTTTTTTTGTTCTCTTTGGGTTTGTTTTTCCCCCTGGGGGAGCAGGAGAAGCCGTGAGTCGGGGGATCCCCACAACCAGGCTGGCAAGTGACCCCTTAGGTGCTCTCTACATGCCACAGGATGGAAACTGGTACAGAGAGTCCTTTGTAGCCTGCAAGCAGTGCCAGTTTGCATGGAACGGAGTTCTCCTGGTGTCTTTSTCTGGCCTCCATGGCATCAGGCTCTCACTCGAGACACAGCGGGGCCCGCGCCCACCTCCTCCTCCCTCACCAGTCGGGGCTTTTTGGGAAGCGCCTCCCTAAAGTGGTGGTGCTTCCAGAAAGCTCCGAGAGCCCCCAGCTCAGCCGTGRGCAGGCTGATGGTGCTGCCAGCCCYGTGTGCTCCGGGGAGATGTTGGCACAGAGGGCACGGGGTTGGCAGCGGCTCCGTGCCARCCTGCAGAGCCCACGGCTCACCGGGGGCTGCTCTGAACTCTGCCACCTGAGCAAAGTGCCCATTCACTTYGTGTGTTGAGCAGAATTTAAACCTAAATTTAAACCGTTACTGCAATTGGCAACGATTGATTTATCTCCCTTAAGGGGAAAGAAGACAAGTAGAAAGTTTTGAGAAGGACAGAAGAAAAGCTTTGTCGTTGCTCATGGAAGCAGCGGGGTTGGAGCAGGCAGGGATGGTGAACTGTCAGCCGTGGGCTGGTGCTGATGGCACGAGTGATGCCATCCCAAGGGACAGGACCCCTCGCCATGGGGATGCCCTGTGCTGGCCAYGGTGGAGGAGGTGACAGCAGCTCTGGGCACGGCGGGAGCACCCAGAGCTGCTGCCACCGCCTCAACCCAACCCCAGATTCCCGTGAGAAACCAAAACTTTTTTTCCAAAAGCACAAATTAATCTTTTTTTGGGGTGTCTTTTTTAGAGCCTTGAATTTAAACTAAACAAATAAAGAAACCAACACAATAAAGGAATAAAGAAAGAAACAAATTGGAATATCTACCCTGGTTTTGGCAGTTCTCATGCCAATCTCCTGCAGGTGCTCCAGCCCCCGTGGCCTCTGCTTGTAGTTTGGGTTTGGATTGGTTACTTATTTATTTTTTTTTTCTATAATTTCTTTGATCGTTTTGTTTTCAGGTCCCCAGGATTAAGTGTGAGGAAAATCAGAGAAATGATGGAGAGCTGCAGCCACACAGAATACCGACAGAGCTTTTACCTGACCCTGCACTCTGAGGGTTTGCTCTTCCACGGGCCCCCCTACCTGATCCTCTTGCTGCTGCCACGGCTGCCGCTGCTACTGGTCCATAAGCCGCTGCTGGGAAACCTGGCCGTGGAGAAAAGGAGAAGGGTAAAGAGAGAGGCCAGCGGGTACCGCGAGTTTCTGCAGGGCACGGGGCTCTCCGTGCCACCAGCCCGGCCCTCTCCAGGTCCCTGCTGGCACAAATCTCGTGGCTGTGGCACCGTGGAGCCAAAAGGGACAGGCTGGAGGCAGAACCCGCAGCACTTGTGTCTCCACAATCCCGCAGGAACGGGGTCAGCCCGCTCCGCAAACAATTCTCTCCYGGGCTTATTTGCAAGTGATAATAACGTGCTGGTCTATAGACAAAGCAGTGATGGGAAATATGAGGAGGTCCTCGTGTCAAGATCACAGATTTGCTGGGATCAAGCAGAAAAAAATTCAATGGAATGTGGTTTGAAAAAGAAAGCAAGAGAGAAAGGAAAAAGCTCTTGAAAGCAAACCAGCCGCGGATCAAGGAGCTCTGTGACATCCCCCCTGCTCCAGGGAACCCAGCCCTCGCAGAGGAATGGAATGCTGCCAGCAAGATTGCAGATTTCATGTCTTTACTTAATTAGTATTCAAAAGATCTGCCAGAGACTCTGACTTTTAATATATGTACTTTAAGAGGGCAAAGGCAAAGTCCAGGGAATCAGCAAGAACCCAAACCCCAAAGTCAACAGCTCCCGGGAGGTTCTGGGTCCATGGGAGCTCTGACTGCTCCTGGCACCAGACAGGACAAACCTGGGGTGGCCAACCCGACCCTTGAGAGGGCACCAGGACCATGATCACAGCTGCTTTGCAAGGCTGAGGAACCACAGCACAACAACTGAGGCACTGAGAAAGAGAAGAGTGAGCCCAGAGAGAGAGAGCAAACACTACAGCCCACTACCTTCAGCACTACAGCTCAGCTACCGAGGCAAGGAGCAGAGAACTAGGCTAGAGGGACCCGAAGCTACTTGAAACATCAATTAAAAAATGACATACTTGCATTTAAATATGGTAATAGGGCTGTTAGGGGGGAAAAAGAACAGCACATAAATGCATGCAGAAGTCACACCGKGGGATGCTACAGCCAGCGCTGAACCCCAGTGTTAAATTCCCTCAAAGCTATCGACCCTGGGTGGGTTCCCTGATGCACAATCAGGGCTGGAGTGAGAAAACTTCGGTGTTAAGTGTCAAACCAATCTCCAAAGAGCAAGGAAAGCATCTGCAGGATGAGGGCTGAGGCTCTGGGGCTTCATTTTCATGCAGAGGCACGGCCGGGCTGAGCTCTGCGCCCTGCCCCTGCAGCTCGGGCAGGAACGGGGCTGGCACCGGCCCCAACCCTGCTCCCTGCCCACATGGAGCGTTCCCATGGCACCTCCACCCCACTGACCACCCGCAAACCTCTCATTGGGAGGCTCCAGGGGCTCCCTAAACCATCCACATGGGATCGCAGGAGCCGCGGGTTTTCCAYGGAATAAAACGCCTCTGCCAAAAGCGATCAAATACCCTTCAAATCGCCGAGCGTCCCCTGAGAACAGCACAAAAAAAAAACAGGGCTGCAAAGTTTGTTTCTCTTGTTCAGCTGCCAGGGACGCTCAGGATCTATTTGAAATGCAGGACAAAAAGTTTTGCCATGCAAGAGAAGAGTGGAATAACAAGGGTGGAGAAGGCGCTCCACGGGAAGAGCCYGAACAAAAGCTCCGTTATTGCATTCCAGTGGACAGATGTGTGAAAAATTAATCCCTCCRCCCCTGAAGAAAGCTTTTATGCTGGTTCTGAGATAAAAGCAKCCCAGCGACACGGCACTCCAAACAGCTCAAGTGTGATCGCGCTCCGTGCGGGAACAGAGCGGGATCAGAGAGCGCGGGATGGAAACGGGGTTTGATCGTCAACATGGGCAAAACCCTGCTCAGAGACACTGCCACAGGATGGCTCCAGCCCTGGAGGATCCCCACATCCATCTGACCTGCTGGAATCCATGCTGGAATCCATGGATTCCCTGCTAAAATGCCCTTTGCCAGGCACGTCCATGGGCTGGCTCAGTGGGACAGCCTCCCTGTCACCGCCGAGCCACCAGGGYTGTGTGACCTCCCCCCTGTGCCACCTCTCCTGGCACCTGAGAAGAGATGGGCAGCTGGCAACACCCTGCTGTGCCTGATGGGGATCCAGCACGGGCACTGCGAGAACCTCTGAGAGGTGGGGACAAAGGGAGAGAGAACT